CATGTGGTGGATTTGAAAGTCCAACTTTCTAGTTTAAAAAAAAAGAAAAAGAAATCCACCATCATCCTGTCGATTCTGACTCATCAGCGACTTTGTATCGGGGTTTTGAGGTTGTGAATCTGTACAGGAGCATGTAGTCTCTCTCCCACAAAGCAGCTGGTAGGTTGGAACTACCGACCTTGGAGTGAGCAATCCAATGCTTAACCAACAGCGCCACCAGGACACAGTTTCATTTGGTTAGTAGTCAAGTTGTTTGCGTTTTAAAATTGTGGTAAAAATATGTAACAAAACATCTACCGACTCAATATTTTTTAGACATCCATGGTAAGTAATATTTACCATGTTGTCCTTTTGCTTTTTTCTGTGTGTTGTCTTTTCCCTCCTTGTATTCTGAGGGCTCCTAATGTTGTTATCCGACTCTGAGGAGCTCCTTTATGATTACAGTGCTCCTGATCATTTGAATCCCATTTGATCAAAATGTCGTCAGTCTTCAGGACACCGCTAGGCACTCCTCTCTTGCTTGACCCTTTACGCCTTGTCCTCTTCGGAAAGCTTGTGAAACTACTCCTTCCTCTTCCACCTCCCTCTGGTCAGTGAGTGTTCCTCAATACTTGGTCCTAATTCCTCTGCTCTTCCCACTGTATAAGGTCTGCCTAATTGCTGAGTTCATTTGCTCTCTCTATGGTGTAGCTGTTAGGTGCGGTCTACTTGGTTCCAACTCCTAAAGATCCTATCTATGAACAACAGAACGGAATATGACCTGGCCCCATGACCAAAGTACGTGAGATGAAGGAGCATTCTGGTTGTACTATTTCCAGGGCAGACTGGTTTCTTCTTTTGGCAGTCCACTGTACTCAATATTTTTTGCCAACACCACAATGCAAATAAAAATGTTTTTTCCTGGTTTTCCGTATTCATTGTCCAACTTTTACATGCACATGAGGTGAATGAAAATACTATGACTTGGTCCGGGGCACGTTCGTACCCAAAGTGATATCCCTGCTCTTCAACACCTTAAAGAGGTCTGTGCAGAAGATTTGCCCAGTGCAATATGTGATTTGAGTTCTTGACTGCTGCCTTCATGAAAATTGAACATGAATCAAAGTAAAATGAAATCTTTGTTAACTTCTATTTCTATCGGCTTATCACAGTGTTATCTATTAGTCCGCTTGTGAGAATTTTTGTTTTCTTATATTGAGTTAAAGGTGTAGTGGTTATGTGTTGGGCTGTTAACCAGAAGGTCAGCAGTTCAAATCCATCAGCTGCTCCATGAAGAACGACGGGACTTTCTACTTCTGTAAACTGTTGCAGTCTCGGAAACCCACAGGGGCAGTTCCACCCTGCCCTGTAGGGGCTGCTATGAGTTGGAACTGATGAGATGGCAGTGATTTAGGTTTGAGTTACACTGACTTGTGATCACACTGAAGGCTGGAGGCTTTGATTCTCATCAACAATTTCTTTCATTCTTCCTCGCTTTCCATAAGCAAGGTTGTGTCATCTGCAATAAGCCTTCCTCCTATCCTAATTCCACATTATTCTATGTACATTTCAGCTTCGTGCATTATCTACTCTTACATTATCTATAGGTTGAATAAGTATGGCAAAAGGACACAACCCTGGAACACACTTCTCCTGATTTTAAACCACATGTTATCCCTTTTATCTTTTCAAATGACTACCTCTTGGTCTATGTACAGCTTCTGCATAAGCACAATTAAGTGTTCTGGAATTCCCATTCTTGTCAATGTTATCCAAAGTTTGTTATGATCCACATAGTCTAATGCCTTTGCATAGTCAGTTAAACACACGTAGGCATTTTCTGGTGGTTCACTGCTTTCAGCCAAGATCCACCTGACAGCAGCAATGTGCCACATCCTCTTGGGAATCCAGCTAGAATTTTTGGCAGGCCCTGCTGATGTGCTGCTGCCACCATTTTAAACTTATCTTGAGCTATAGGGTCTGTTGCAATTATGCAATGTGTTTTGATGTAACACAAAGGCAACAATAAACAAACGGGTGTGATTGTGTTAGAAAATAAAACTGTAGTTACGACATCCAGTAGGGAGCTGGAGTTGGACCTTGAAAGTTGGAGCTGCCTTGACCTAAGATGAGAAAGCCGGAGGAGAGCTGCATTAGCTGGAGGAGATGAGGGATTCCGTTTGATATTACATTTGAGAGGCAGACAGGGAAGCCCAAGGGAGTTGCGGTGTAGTCAAGCTGATGTACAAGTCTAAATTCTTGCAACAGGATGAGATCACTAAGCAATGAAAAAGAGGCAGAGAGGAGACTGTCCAAGCATGAGACAGGCACCCCTAATTCAAAGATGGTGGCAAAGAGGAGGGACCAGCAAAACAAGAGAAAAGAAAAATGAGTGAGGTAGGAGAAAAACCTACCTGTGGCCTTCTGTTGTGACCACTGTGGCTGTATAGTAGATGTTAAAGTCTGGTACGATGAGCCCTTCGACTTTGTCCTTCTTGAGGAGTTCTCTGCTAATTCTGGGCTTCTTCCCTCTCCATATGAAATTGGTGGTCAATTTTTCCAGTTCTTTGAAGAAGGTTGTTGGTATTTGAATGGGAATAGTGTTAAGCTTATAAAGTGCTGTGGGCAAGATTGACATCTTTACTATGTTGGGTCTTCCAATCCACAAGCATGGAATGTTCTTCCATTTGTGGCGGTCGCTTTTGGTGTCCTATAGTAGGGTTCTGTAATTTTCCTTGTAAAAGTCTTTTGAGTTTTGGTTAGATATACCCCTAGATATTTCAATTTGTTCTTGGCTAATGTGAAGGGTACTACCTTCTTGATCTCCTCTTCTGTGGTCTTGTCCAATGGATGTAGCATGTCAATAGACTTCTGTCTATTGATCTCGTATCCCACTGCTCTTCCGTATTCCTCTATGGTTGACAATACTATTGTGGAGCTTCTGGGGTTTTCAATGTATAGAATCATGTCATCTGCAAATAGCGATAGTTTCACCTCCTCCTCTCCCAGATGGATTCCTTTAATGTCCTTCTGCTGCCTTATGTTGTTAGCTAGGACCTCCAGTATGATGTTGAATAGAAGTGGGGACAGGGGCATCATTGTCTTGTCCCCTTTTTCAGTGGGATTGTTTTAGTTTTTTCTCCGTTATCTATGATGTTGGCTGTTGGCTTTTCATAAATAGCTTGTACTGACTTGAGGAATTTCTCTTCTATTTCTATCTTTTTGAGTGTCTTAATTAAAAATGGGTGTTGGATGCTGTCAAATGCTTTTTATGCATCTATTGATATTATCATGTGTTTCTTATCCTTTTGCTTATCAATGAGGTGAATAATGTTGCATCCCTGATTAATCCCACCTTATTATGTTGGATGATATGTTTTATATACTTTTGTATTCTATTGGCCAATGTTTTGTTAAGGATTTTTGCATCTATGTTCATTAGAGATATCAGTCTCTGGTCCTCTATTCCTGTGGGATCCTTCTCCTATTTGGGCATTAATGTTATACTGGCTTCACAGAATGAGGTGTTCAGTATCCTTTATTTGATGTGTGACTTATAAACCCACTGCTATCAAGTCAATTCTGACTCTTGGTGGTCCTAAAGGACAAAGTAGAATGGCCCCTTTGGGTTTCCTAGGCTATAGATCTTTTGGGGAATAGAAAGCCTCATTTTTCTCCAATGGAGTAACCCGTGGATTCAAACTACTGACCTTGTGGTCAACTCAGAATCCACTATGACACCGGGCTCCAAGAACAACAACAAAAATCTCACTGCCAGTGAGTCTCTTGGGTGGTTCACATCAGCAACTCAACATCAAGTATCCAATTGCTCGTGTGGACTTGAGGCTAAGCTTCCAGCACTGTGACCTCCAAATGACAGGATAGAAGTGTCTCTGTAGGTTTTCCTAGGCTCTAGAGCAGATCACCATGTCTTTCTCCCCCAGAGTCACTGGGTGGGTTTAATCCACCAATCTTTTGGGCCTAGTACTTAAGCTGACATGCCAGCAGGGTTCCTTTGATGTAAGGTAGGGGTCTTCAAATCACAACACTTTTCCTGCTGCAGCCACCTACATCTTCTAGCACCTGGTCAGCATTGAAGTTTGATTGTTCCTTTTTTCTATTTCGAGTCATTGTTCTTAATATAAAAATACTCCAAACGCCTCCCCTGGAGTACCTCTTTTTACAGGAGTGCACCAAGAGACATAAAAGGGAAAGATCGTTTGTAATAGAAAAATATGTGGAGTTACGTAAGCCAAATAGGATAGTCAAGTGCATTGTGGGACCATTTCTACAAGAAATACCTCAATGCAGTGAAATACCCACTACAGCTCCTTGAGCCAACATAAATCAAAAGATTCAATGAAAACACTAAAAGCTGCAAAGAGAATACCTGCAGCCCGAAAGCTTTATATCCATTTCAGAAACACCCAGAATCACGCAGAAATAAATCCACATTAAAATCATACACTAAGACATAAACAAAGAGATGGTAAGTATAGATACCAGGCTAGCAGTTAGCTTAATGGGGAGGCTGATGGGAGTGTGAATGGAGAGGCGCACAGGTGGGGTTTAAAACAGATGGGGAGCATTCTGTTTCTTGATGTGGGTGGTGGGCTTAGAGGTATTTGCTGGACTGTTTTTATACTTTATAGATCTCTTCTAGACAGTCATCTCTACATTTCCCCTATTCCACAATGAAGATATTTAATAAGTGGATAAACACTGCCCATCGCTGCAGCTAACAACTGTTTCCCTGGTCACTCTCGTCCTCCCTGGGATCCCTTGGGTGCTCTCACATTGTCCCTGTCAGCTCTCCTGGAGATTTTAGCCTCCACAGAGTTGGACCAGCCAGTATCCTAACTTCTTAATTCCTGGACTTATATTACCCCTCCAGTTAAACTAGGCACCATTTCCACATATCTCCATGTCTAGCACTTCACTCTCTTAACTCCCTCCTCCTGTTTCTAGCTCACCATTCTTCTTTGATTCCCACTCAATTAGTCTTCAGCTTCAGCAAGAGCCCCCTGGTCATGTTTACAAGGACGCAGAGGAGCCAGGACATTTGTGCATTGATTGTAGAGATGGACAATCATAGATGTGTAACAACACTTGGGAAAACATTTTGCCGGGATTTAAAAATATATATATATATATATATTAAGTTAAGCAGACATTCCATGTCTAGTTATTTACACAAGAAAATAGAAAGCACCTGTCCACACAAATGTGGGAATATGAATGCTCATAGCAGCTTTATTTATCGTTACCGAATTCTGACAACAAGCCAAATGTCCACTACCAATTGAGTATATCCGTATCATGCAGCTCAGAGCTCACAGGAAAACTACCGGTCCACACCGCAATCCGGGGACATCTCAAGACCACCACACTGAGAGAGGACAGAGCAAAGGGTGCCTTTCATGGAAAATTCCTGTCGTGACAGGAAGCATTTTAAAGGTTCCCTGGGGAGAAGGGTGAGCCACGGTGCGGGGTGTGTCTGTTTGTGTGTGTGGTGGTTAATAGAAGCTCAAGGAAAAGCAAGGAAGTAATAGGTATGTTCACTCTCTTGACTGTGGTGACATTTTATGAGCAGAACCATAACATTGTATACTTTATGTACAGTTTCTTTTATGCCAACTGTATTTCAGTTTAAAACAAAACAACACCCATTTGGGCCTCTAGCACCATCTGACCTATTGCCGTGTACCAGGGAGTGCCGAAAAGCTTGTGGGAAACGTCCATCTCTTTTCATTCCGTTTCCCACAAATGTGTGGAAGTCCTCTTGTAAACGTATCTTCCACTGTCCGAGAGGACTCGCTCACTTCCTCCTCTCTTTTCAAACCTCAAAGTTCTGCACTTTCTGGAAATGCTGTGTTTCTCATTTCATAGAGGAAAAAAGAGCCCACTAGATGATGACTCTACATCCCTACCCTCCACATCTGCAAAGCCCGCCTCTGCCTGTAGCCATAAACCTCACTGGCTTTCCTGTGTCAGTGGATGAAGTGTCTGGGCATCTACGGCCAACACTTCCATCCAGGCCCAGAACCCATCAGCACGATTTCCCACTGTGCTCTGGGTCGTCAAAGTTTCCCCTCTTCTGAATTCTTCTCACCATCAGACAGTTTGAAGTAGTTTTCATCCCAAACTTAAGTACAACCCTCCTTAGACCCACCCCCTGCATCTGCTTCCAGTTATTGCCCCACTTCTTAGGCGTCACGTATGCTACTGTGTCTACTTCTTACTGGTGAACCCACTTGAACCAGGCTTTTATCCCATCCATCAAGATCATCAGTGACTTCCAGGTGGCAAGTCCAATGGCCGATGCTCCGTCTCTTCATTGAAAAGTCGCCTTTTACAGGACCTTATTTATGTTGCTGTTGTTGAGAACATGCGCAGTTGGACTGACATGGATTCAACCACTTCCACTGATGACGGATGTCAAGTAGTGCAAGCAGTCTGCCCTTCTTTTGCCAAGTTGTTCCTCTGCCCCTGACACACACTTATTGCCCCCCCAGGATTCCTATCTAATCAATCGTTTGTCACTCTGGTTCCATATACTCACCACCATCAGGCCAGTGCTGACTCAAAGTGACCCTACAAGGCAGGGTAGAACTGTCCCTGTGGGCTCTGGAGCGTGTAACTGGTTAAGAGAGCATGAATCCTTGTCTTTCTGCCAAGGAGCGGCTGTGGTTTTGAACTGCTGACTGTGAAGTGAAGCAGTCCAACACGTAACCACTGCACCACCAGGGCTCCTTTGGATTCCATATAGATACGTCTTAGAAGAACACACTGTTTTCTGGCACTGTTAATGTCAAGTGCTGTTTTCAGCATCTTCTCTCTGAAGGGATTTCTGTCCACGGTGTTCAGTTCCCAGAAAGGAGGCCTGAGGATATAAATAGTCTGCACAGAGATTTTCTGTTCAATCCCCCACTGTAAGGGAACTCCATTATCTCCACACCTAGGCCAGGAAATCACCATCCATAGGCCAGGAAACTCATCTTAATCCACACTGGCTCAAGGAGTGAGCACATGGCGCAGGGGAAGACAATCTCAGGTCTGAGGGATGTGCCTACCTCTCTGGGGCATGCGCAGTGCAGGCCAAAGGCTTCTCTCCTGGGCCAGCCCATGGCTGTGTGGGCTGCACGGTGCAAGGGATCAGGTAGATCGTGTACTCCCCCGAATAGTCCTTCCTGAAAACGGGCAGAGAAGACAGTGGTCACGAGGCACAAGGCATAGATGCTTTACCTACCTAAAAACACACTGACTTCATGAAACAGATTTCATATGGAATATACACACCCCGCCACACACATGCCACACACATGTCACACACATGCCACACACGTCACATCCAAGGACTTCATGAGTCTGGAAACCCAAGCGCAGGCACGCATCACTCCTTCTCATCTTCAGAGGCCTACCCGGAGGTGTTGAACAGAGCTACTTTTATGAGTGCAACCCTCTCCTGAGCAAAGCTGACGAAGGTGCGTGGTTTCTAAAAATCAGAAAGACTCGAGGGAAGGAAAAACAGGATTGGTTGTTTCTTTTAGATCTCCACAAGTTCTTTGACAATTTCGGCTTGGTGTTTCCTGTTGACAGAAACCTTGCTGCGCAACTTGCTATCAAATGAAAAAGCCCCCATCTGCGAAGATGCGCTCATGGCAGCTGCTGGTCTGATGGGAGGGGTCGCAAATGCCTCGTGAGGGCACGACCCGACCCCAGAGTCGAAGGGAAGCAGTTCCCAGGAAAACTGTCCCACAGCAGTCACTGTGGAGGCTCCTCTCCCCGATTCCGGAGTCCCCGAGGGGAGCAAACAGGAACATGCTCAACTAGTTGCTAACCGAAAGGAAGGGCTGGCAGCCAAGGTTGACTCCTCCATAGGTGCTTTGGAAGAGCAGTTTGGTGCTGGACTTCCAGCGATCGCCCCACCCGCGGAGCACACGTCTGACACACAGAGGGATACCATGAGTCAGTCAATCTGATGACAGCCGCTTTTTTGTTTTCTTCCCAGGTCTACAGCCTCATTCCTTTACAGAGCTGAAGGACAGTCATCACGTCTCCCAATCATCACTGCTTGGGATCCTCCCTCTGTGTAGGGGTGCCCAGGATCTTGGAGGTCTTGACACTGAAAATCTGAAGGCTTTGGGCCCCTCACCTACTTAATTTCCCACACTTGTCATCGGTAGCAGCCCCAGTGTGGCAAGTTGCCTGGAAGACTGCCAGACATCCAGACACTTCGGGAGGTTCTTCAAGGGCCTTGGGAGGCTGCCATTCATTGAATGACGAGCGCAGGGCTGTGAATCTTAATTATAACCCTGTTGTGAGCGATCTGGGGAGCAGTGTTTGCTGGGTTCATTCATCGACCATTTTAATATTCTTTTTCTTTTATATCAATAACGTGATAGCGCAGATTTTGGTGTAAAACATAAATACATAAAAACTTAACACGCAAGCTTGTATCAGTTTAGTGGAGCGACGGGGCGGGGTGGGAGGGGGCAATTGGAAGCAGGTTAGTCCTTTGCTTCCTCTCTGCCACAGTGGTATAATCGGAGGTGCCAGGTTGCTATGGGTTGAATTTTCCCACACACCCCAACAATATGTGTTGGATACTAACCCTCTATATCAATGGAAGGCCCTGGTGGTGCGATAGTTCAAGTGCTCAGGTACTAACCAAGAGACCAGTGGTTCAAAGCCACCAGCAGCTCCTTATATGGCCGTGACAGGCTTGGACACCCGGTGGGGCAGTTCTACTCTGTTCTGCTCAATAGGATCTGGTATGAGTTGGAACCAGCTGGGTGGCAATAGGTAGACTTAGATGCAAGTCCCCACACTGGCCTGCAAACCCCACAGGGGTAGCCCTAGCCCTACTCATTCACCTCTTTGATTGCATCTCCTATCAATCTCCTCTCCTCTCACTGTACTCCAGCCACACTGGGTTCTTTGTTGTTCCGTGGGCAGACCAGGAATGCTGAACTTTCCCAGAAACACTCTTCCCTGAGATACTTGCTTGGCTGACTTCATAACTTCCTTCAAGTCATCGCCCAAATATATCTTCGTATCCAGGCCTACCTCCAATACCCTATTTACAATTTTTATATCATCTACTGAATTCCCTTAACCTCTCTACATCTTTTATCTTTCTGTAGCACTTACATTATTCTAACCTGCAACACTCTTTATTTACTTGTTGTGTTTACTACTCCTAGCAGCGGTCCTGGTGGACTACTGGTTTGTGCACTGGGCTGCTAACTGCGGGATCAGCAATTTGACCCCATCAGTCACCCCAGCAAGAGAAAGATGAGGCTTTCTGCTCCCGTAAAGGTTTCCAGCCTCAGAAACCCACAGGGACAAGTCTGTTGTGTCCTACAGGGTCACTGTGAGTCAGAATTGAGTTGGCAAGAGGCTTGGTTTTTTTTGGGGGGGTTGGGTTGCTGTTCTTTGTCTCTCATTTGACTGAAGTGATGAGGACCAAGAGCTTGCTTTTGTTTGCCCTGAGGCATTCCAAGTGTGCAGAATCTGTTTGGCACATGATGAATGCTCAATTAATATCTGCTGAATGAACAAATGGATGAATGCAGGACACAAACTGCACGGCCTGCAAGTCCACAGTCCCACTGTTCTCCGGTCCCTAAGACTGCGCAGGTATACTCCCGTGAATTCACCCAAACACAGCCCTGGAGGCAGCTCTTCTCACCTCCTTCCTGAAACCCAGACACTGCCCATGCCACAAGGTGGCGCACCTCCTGGGCTCTCTCCACTCTGAGTAACTATGGTTTTGATTTCCGGGGCCTCCCACAGGGTCCTTAGTCCAGGGTGTTCAGTGTTGTCCATTAGTTTGCCACTCATCTATGCATTGTATCTCCTTGCCACTTTTTCATGGTCTCACTAGTCTAGTTGCCACCAAGTTCATTCTGATTCATGGCCCAGTGTGTGTCGAGCGTAAACCTGTACTCCAAATGAGCTTGTCAACGGTTGAGTTTCTTGGAAGCAGATCACTAGGTCTTTCTTTTGAGGTGCCCCAGCAGTTTATTGAAACATAATTCACATATATTCACATTTCTATGTTCAATTGTATATACATCACCACAATCAGTTCTATAACAACCTCTCTCCTCTTGTATTTATCATTTCCCTCCCAATTCCCTCTACCATCCCTAAATCCCTGAAAAGCCATGACACCAATGATTGTCTATATATCCACTCTCCCTGTGCTTTATAAACTGAGAAATGTATTGAAAAAGAGAAAAATAACAAAAGAAGAAAAGGACCACTGGCAATATTAAATTGAATCAGAGAAGAAAACCTCCGTGGAGAAAAAAACAAGAGTATTTAAAACTATATCAGATCCAAAATGGGTCAACAGGGAGATCCAATGACCAAGTGTCATATTATAACCTAGGTTCAACTGCCATAGTCAAACTGACAACTGTCTCTGACAGCAACATTATTGAAGGCCTGTCCCTCAACTATGGTCAGAAGGGATCCACTAGAGGCTTATACATGTGGGGACTTTGCTGATAGATTTTGGGCTCCCACTTCTGAGGTGCCTCTTGATAGACGTAAGCCTCTAGTATTTTTGGTTAGCAGATGAGTGCTTGTAACCAATTACATCAACAGTTTGTACCACCCAAGGTTTCCCACTGTAGGCTCCTAAAAATAACAAACCCAAAAACTCACTGCTGTGGAGTTGATTCCAAATCATAGCAATCCTACAGAACAGGGTAGAACTAACTCTGTAGGTTTCCAAAACTATAATGCTTTATAAGACTAGAAAGCCTCATCTTTCTCCTGAAGAACAACTGGTGGTTTCAAACTGCTGACCTTGAGATTAGCAGCCTAACCAGCAACCACCATGCCACCAAAGCTTTTTATGGTAAACTCCTAGGGACATTTATTCAGCAGATACCATGGACTACCAAATATACAGAAAATCAAGGGGCCTCATCCAAATTGAACAAGGGCATGCTGTGTGGTTTAAAAGCAGGAAAGGTGTGAGTTTGGGCCGTATCCTTTCACCACACTCATTCAATCTGTATGCTGAATAGAAATCAGAGAAGTTGGGCTAAAGGGAGAACTAGGCATCAAGCTTGGAAGAAGACTCATGAACAACCAGTGAAGTCCTTCCTGTGAAAATAAAAGACTGCATTTTTCAGTATGAATTATATTTCAATACCAAAACAAAAACAGAACAAAAATCCTTACCATGGGACCAATAAGCAACATCATAATAAACAAAGGAAACACTGAAGTTAGTAAGGATTTCAATTTATTTGGATATTCAACACCTGTGGAAGCAGCAGTTCAGAAACCAAAATAACCCCAAGACATATTGCCTTGGGCTTATCTGCTTTTAAAAGTGACAACGCAAAGCTATCACTTTGAGGACTAAGGTGCGTCTGACTCAAGCCATGGTATTTCAATCCCATTTGCATGGGAAGTCTGGATGAGTAAGCATTGATATGGATGAATCCTAGCGTTGACAAAGAACACGGAATATACTATAAACGTCCAGGAGAACAAACAAACTGTCTTGGAAGACGGACAGCCAGATGTTCCTTGAGACTGGCCAGATGTTGTGTCCTGTACTTTGGATATGTTACTAGGAGGGCCCAGTTCTTAGAGAAAGATGTCATGTTTAGAGAGGAAGCAAAAAAAAGTGGAAGACCCTTAATGAAACAGACTAACACAGTAGCTGCAACAATGGGCTCAAACGCAGCAACAATTGTGACAATGGTGCAAAACCAGGCAGTGCATTCTTATTCTACTATCCAACTCCTCCGAGCATTAAGGCTGTGTGTCTGACAGCAATGCACACTGGGGTGGGCGGCGAGTGTGATGCTGACCGGTTATGGGTGAAGTTGGCCGGGTCATGATTCTCAGTGGCTTTGGAGTTACATAATGCTGTGATTTGGTTGCTCTGAGTTAGGACTGACTCAACGGCACCCAACAACAACAATCCTCATACCCGAAAACCTGCAGGGCTGAGGATTCAAGTTGAATCAAGCACGCACTCGACCTTGGGAAGCTCACAATCTGAAGCACATGAAGTTAGCAAACAGACAATTCAAAGGCAACGAGGAGTGCTAGAGTAGAAACCGGAACAAAGGGAAAATGAAGAGGAGGGATCGTCTAGCACTTCTAAAGAAGGTGTCAAGGTGTGCGCAGCATATGAGCTGGTCTCAGTGAAGTTAAGCGTTTTCCAGAAGTGAAAGAATAGGAAGGGTAGTGGAAACTGTGAAAGTGCAGAGAGATAGGCTTGTGCGGTCAGAGAGTTATGAGACACGTGATGTGGGAAGAAGGCTGGGTCTGAGATGGGCTGAAAGGGGCGGATATGGGCCTTGTATGCTATATAGGGACTGTGGTAGTTACATAATCTGGTGTCATTTTGGGAACTGAGACGATAAAGAGTGAAGGAGTGGAGTCTCAACCAGGGGTCCTCAAACTATGGCCCGGTGGCCACATGCGGCCCGCTGAGGACATTTATCTGGCCTGCCGGGTGTTTTTGCCCCATTTGCTTTTTTACTTCAAAATAAGATATGTGTAGTGTGCATAGGAATTTGTTCATAGTTTTTTTTTTTTTTAACTATAGTCTGGCCCTCCAACAGGTCTGAGGGACAGTGAACTGGCCCCCTGTTTAAAAAGATTGAGGACCCCTGGTCTAGACTGTCAATCAGGTCATAATCAATGAGGCCTCTGTGTGGCCTCCTGATAATTCTGGGAATTCCTGTATTTCCTCCTTAGAGGAGAGAGATGCAGTCTCTCTCTACGCCCGACTCCCTGGAGAGACGCTCTACTGACAAGACATATGGCACTATGTTGATAGACCCCCATGCCCTGGGAACTGGAGGATCCACTTGGAGACCCCTGTCAGTGCTGAGATGCTTCTGTCACCACTGGATCCACAAGACTTTGCACCCACTGGCCTGTGATCTTCCTGCATTCAGTGGCACTGCATGTGTTTCGTGAGTCTGAAGAAGACTTTATAGATTGATATCAGACATATGGCTAATATTGGACTTATAGACTTGATCTGGACTGGACTGGGGTGTTCTCTCAATATTCAACTGCTCTTGTATATAAAATTATTTCTTATACACAGATGTGTGCTTATGAATTTGTTTCTCTAGTCTACCCAGACTAACACAGGGACTGGATGTCATCTTATAGGCAATATAGAATCACCAGAAGTAGTAAAGGATGACAGTTAATAGTTTCTATGCCTTTAAATTGGGACAGCAGATGCATCATCTCATGAGTCTATGAGTAATCTCTTTGAGGATTACAAAGGAATCATTTAAAAACATGATACAAAATATCTAATTTATATTTCAAGAAACCTTTTTGAAAACTATATAAGGTATATTCTTATAACAACATACATATATAGCCAAGAAACTTAAAAGTTTTGGTTTCCAAGTCTTGATCCTGCCACTTAATAGTAAAAGCAGGACAAGATTTTGATGCTAACTATGGTTCTTAATTTTATAATCTATCCAATGGGGATAATAATACATGCGACAGCTTCTATTACCCTTTTCATGATAATATACCTAAGTCTCTTGTTATCAGACATTTTCCAATTAAAACAACAATAAGAAGTCTACTATCTGATCATTGTGAGCTTTCAAGCCATAATGACAGTAATCGACACTGAGTGAGACGAGAGTGATGTTGGCTGTGATAGTTAAACGTTATGGAGCACCTTGACTGGGCCATGATTCTCAGTCGTCTGGCAGTTATGTAATGATGTAATTTGGCACTTAACTAATGATGTATTTAGTATTTAAACAATTATCTAGCTCAGCAGTTGGGTAATGAGGTGGTCATCTTCCATTTTTTTAATCAAATATGGTCATCCTCCATTTTTGCATAATGTTGACTTTCCAGTGATGACCTGGTCTTTGAAACCTAACCATGTTGATAAAGGAGGAGTGGGTATAGTTTTAATTATGACTTTCTCACTTATCCCTTTTCCAAATGGAGTATTTTATTGTATGTATCCAATTCCCATTCTACTTCTAACTTGGGTGTGGGGAAGAATATTTCTTATCACTTATATTATAGAACAGTGGACCATTGGGAGTGACATTTGGACCTAATAACCAGCAATCTTGGGTTTTGCACTGGCTGGAGTAACTAGAATGGGACTCCTGCATCACAGTAGGCTTTTAAGTTGACACACTTCCCAGTTTCCATGGTGACTAAGTTCTCGCCAATGGGTTGTAGAAGGGATGTGGATGCGTGCCTTCCTCGATCCTACCTTGAAATCGGATGCGTGTTTCCTGGCTTTTGCATTACAAGTTGACCTGAGTTACTTATTTTTCTTTTTCTATTTACCAGAAGGTTATTGGTATCCTATTTTGCCCATGAAACCCTCTTTTAAAGCAGAAATCCAGTCTTTAAAGATAGCCTTCTTTCACAAGCTCCTGACAGAACGAGTCAAAACAAAATGGACATCATTTCAGATCCACATGTGGAAGTCTCCCTCCCAGGATTCACCTGTTATAAGAGCTAGTGGCTCTCCAGAGTTGATGTGGAGAATCAAAAGTCTGAGCACTCCATAAAAGCTGTAGATCAAATTCAATTCCTCCCAGGTGGTCTGGAGTCAATATGAAGGATTTCACATTGGGGAGAGTGTGGTGCTCCATTACAAACTGTCCTGTTTCAAGAGAAAACACACACACACATACATGTAGTGTCCGATTAATGTACTGCTGGTGAAGCCCTATGAGAGTGTATGAACTGCACTAACGTTCCTTTTTTTTTATCAGCAAGGTTATAACCTTTCATCCCTTTCTACATTGCTTGGGGCACCATGGCATGTCACCCCACGGTATCATCCTACTTGTGATGGTCATATTATAAACACTGAGCATCTGGTCCACTGAGATTTGAAGCCCAACCACTTCAGAAGTAGAAAAGGTCTTGGTAGTTTATAAATAGAAAAATCAATGTTGAATGAAAATCACAGTTAAGGACATACAAGTCATTGGTGGAAGGGAGCAACTGTAAATATCACTAAAAAGGCAAAGAGTAATCGACAAGCTAACTGCACTCTTTAAAACAATGGTTCTGAACCTGTGCGTCGTGACCCCTTTGGGAGTCGAATGACTCTTCCACGGGGGTTGCCTGATTCTTAACAGTAGCAAAATTACAGTTAGGAAATAGCAACAAAAATACTTTTATGACTGGGGGGGGGGGTCACCACAACATGAGGAACTGGATGAAAGGGTTGCGGCATTAAGAGGGTTGAGAACCACATCTTTAAAACAACACGGCTGTATTGTTATGAATAAATAGAGGCACTGTTGTAGATTTAAAGTCATGCTGCTGGCATTGGGTTAGGTATAGACCGAGAACCACAAATTTGGTTGTTCAAATCCACCTATCACTCCTTGGGAGTTTGAGGAGGTTTTCCACCTCCATAAATATTTACAGTCTTGGAAACCATATACAGGGTCACCTTGAGTTAGAATTAACGATGGCAGTGGAGAGTCTAGATTTAAAGAGATTTAACAATCAAATGGCTGGCTGGACTCTAGACCATTTTATAAACAGAAAAATAAAATAGGTTGGAAAAATTTGACAAAAGAGGAATTATGAAGAGATATTATTGACTCAATGTTAAATATCTTAGAGGTGATAATGATGTTGTGATACATAAGATAATGTCTTTGTTCTTAGGAGGTGACTACTAAAGTATTTGCGGGGGAAATTGATATTAAATGGTACCGTTCAAAAAAGTATAAGGCACAGCAAAAAGTTGACAGCTGTTGAATCTAAGTAGAGGGTCTCTATCGGCCATGGTTGTCTTCTTTCCGCTCTCCTGTAGCAGGCTGAAGTTTTTTCACAATCAAGGGTTGGGAAAAAATAGCGCTGCTATTACCTCTGAATTTGGCATGAGTCTTGAATTCAATGACGAGACGGCCGTCCTCTCGAATATAGATTCTGATGATCTGCAGCCTTGCAGAGAGCACGCTGTCTGTCTGGATTCCTGCACCGGTATTACACCAAAATATCCACATCAGGGCACAGAGACGACCTCCTAGAAGCAGGCAGGCCCACAGGGCAGCTCTCCCCCTGACAACGCTAAAGAGAGCTGAGCATTGCTTCGAATGTAACTCGTGAATGATAAACGTGTCATCTATTTAGAGATCTTCACAGATTCAGAGCGTATAATGATCATTCTACTTGGTTCTTTTCACAGTTCCACTTGCTTCTTAAGAACCTCTAAGTGGTGCAAGTGGTTAACATTCTTGGCTGCTAATCAAAAGGTTGGAGGCTTGAGTCCACTCAAAGGCACCTTGGAAATAGACCGAGTGAGCTCTTTCTGAAAAGTCACACGTTAAAAGCCCATGAGACACGGCTCTGCCCTGATTCACATGAGGTCACCATGAGTCAGACCTTTCAATGGTTACTTCTTATACAACATGGCCCACGCCATTGTTAACTAGCAGAAAACGGACATTATTCTATTAGGAAAGACCATGCTTCTGAATCCCGAATAGGCAGTATAGACGCCTTCTGTCACTTGCAGCTTCCTGCTCTGGGCCCCTGTCTCTACGTGCTGGTGTCTCCATCCCTGGAGGCACCGGCAGCATCGGCATGCGTGGAGCCCACTGAGTGCTCCAGGCTTTCCCGCTTGGTGGACTTCCCAGACTTGAAGTGGCCACGCACTGACTAAGTAGGGGACAACAGGATGAGGAATGCAGTTTAGCTATTCAAAGTCACGACTGAGTCCCTCCCCCCTTTTAATCTTGAGCTTATGGCAGGAATCGTGAAGGGGTCAAGGGGCATACCTGTTCTCCAGAGAACAGTGTCATAGAAGAAGGAGAACTCCATCTCGGTGTGGTGCTCCAGGGAGGCCCAGCCCCTGGGGGCCGTCACGTAGATGTAGGACACATAGAGAGGCACATGCACCGTCAGGAACGACTGAGCAGAGTCTCTCACCTGCCAAGCAAACAGTGTGCACACAGGATGGTCATGGCTTCCCGGAGATAAGAACATACGTGAGCATCACATCTGGGTTCAGTTTTCCTTCACTCATGCATAGTAACTTGGCCATTCCAGAATTATTAATCAAGTACCGATGACTACACGAAGCACCATGCTATGAGCCAGGGCCGTAGCAGTGGGTAAATATCTATCACTCCCGTTACGGAGTATCTCACGAACCCTGGTGGCACAATGGTTAAGTACTTGGCTGCTAACTGCAAGGTAGTTCAACCCTGCCCAGAAGTGGGTTTCCTTTTGCAAAGAGGAGAGCTGAGAAAAGCCAGTGGGGCAGTTCTATTCTGTGTCGCGTGGGGTGATCATGAGCTCAAATGGATGTTGACAGCAGTGAGGTGGAAAACGCAGTCCACTGAGGAACATGGACTTATCTAGGCACTTCCGGACGTGATCGTCCTTTGGTTGTATAAGGACAACAGACTGAAGAATAAATGCAAATGTAAATACAAATACAAAAATTAAAAAAAAAAACTAATGTCAAATCCTGAGAAGTGCCATGACGACAATAAAGTGGGTTTTTGCTATGTGTGCAATATTGACTAATCCATTTTAAACGTAAAGAAAGGAGAAGCGTGACCAGGATGCTTCTTTAGATAGGGGGTCTGTAAGGTTTTTCTGAGGAGGGGGCACTGGAAGGGATGGCTTTGGCGTGCCTGGGCCCTCCAGTCAGTGCAAAATGGGCTTGCCAGTGTCCTGCAGGAGAACCTAATCAACCCAAATCAGGCAGGTGGTCAAGTCTGGATCCAGCGATTCACATGTGCCTGACTCCGGACATCTGAGTGAAAACTCATGTCTTCTACTGCAGGAGCAGAGATGTGGGGGTGGGGTGGGGGGTGGGGTTATCATATCCAGCCAACTGACCATCAGACAGATCAGCACAAAAACTCCATAATGTCCCCATATAATGCATTGGTAAAATAATCACACTTTGGGGGAGGGAGGTTCCTGTTACTACTATTTATTTCATTCAATACTTTTTCACTTTACTATGCAATGAACAAAATGAGATGGAAATATAACACAATATAACCATAAAGTTTTCATGGTGAAGTTAACTATATATGCATGTAAAGAAGTTGGCTCAGATTTATTTTTTTAAATATACATTTTGTTTTTCTTCTGTACATTTTCTTTTATAAGAGAAAAGTTTTACTTTGTCGTGGCCAAGGGTTATAATATGGATCTTAATTTTTCTGTGAGAAAACTGTGTGAAATGTTTCTAAGGGAAATGAAAAAAGTAATTATAAGGGTGAAATACCTTATCAATGTGAAAAAGGTTAATTTATTAAAGAGATTTATTTTATATTCAAATTTGTCAGGGAGTAAAATCGCATGAAGTGTTACGAAAGGTTACTACATGATCTTCCTATCAAAATCCCTTTCTTACGTCTTACTCTGTTCTTGCTCAAAATTTCCAGGATTTTTTCTGGACCTTATACTACGTTCTTCCCTTAATACAGAGGTTTGGCTAAATACATTTGCATTTAGCAAATAAATTCTCTAGGTCGCTGGCAAAACTAGTTTCCCCTCCTCTATTTCTGTTTGGTCTCGGTTCACGTTCACGGTATTGCTTGTGGTTGGGTGTTGCAAAGTCACTTCCAACTCCTAACAGCTGGACAGGGTAGAGTAAAAATGCCCCACTGGGTTCCCTAGGGTGCAATCTTTGTGGGGGCAAATTGTCAGGTCTCGCCTCCCGCCGATCCCCCGGTGGGTCTGAATCACTGACTTTTCAGTAAACAGCCGGTGCTTAGCCACTGCATTTCTAGGGCTTCTTCGATAATATTTAACCTCATTGCCATCCTGCGGATCCCAACCCATAATGATGCTACAGGAGGGAGTCGGGTTTCCAGGGCTGCCATCTTCCCAGAGGCGGACCACAGAGTGGGCAGTAGGTTCGAGCGTGGCAGCAGCAGAGGGCTCATTTGACTGCACATCTGTTTGTGCCAGATCGTATAGCCAAGGTGTCACCCCATCTATTAGGGTAGGCTTGCCCATCTCAATTTCAGATGTGGCTCCGAGAGGCCGTGCTTTGATCAAATCTACTGATAGTTGGTGGAGAATCTGAAGAAGTAGGACTTGGTTCCAGGTTCTATATTCTTTCTACCCTACATTAGCTGTTTGGACTAGTTTTAAAGAAACAGACAATGAAATACTTCTGCGTATCTATTCTTTCTGCTGCTCATTTAAGAACGAGGGGACTTGTAGTAACAACACCCTGTCCTGGAGGTTTTGAAAAATGTTCTAAACAAATACGTCCACCGCAAAAGCAGTTGTGGTGAGCTCCCAGCTCACACTAGTTTTTGAAGGGGCTGGCGAGGAACAAAGCACTTTGTCGTTTTCCAAAGTGATGGTGCATTATTCAACTAAAGAAATAAAAAAGCAAAACAAAAACTAAACCTAAGCCTGCCATACAAGTCTACTCAGTAGAGGGCAGTAGTGTATACAAAATGAGGGGAACCAAACTGCCCACCAAAAAATGCAAGGCATCATAGAGAAACTAAACACATTTTAAACGAAAGGTACTTTTCCAAAATGATTCATTCCTTCCACCGGTTCCCTTCTGGGTCAGGGAGAAGCCTGAAGAACAAATATCAAGGTAAGTTTTAAGCTTGTGGCGATAACTGCTCGTAAGTGGGGAGAACCCATATGAGGATTAATTCCCCCTATCGCCCCTCCCCCAGGAGTATTGGCTTCTATGGCACTTCGATGCCAATGCGCATCTAGGACTTGCTGCTATAAAATTTCCTATTGTCCTAATGCTTAAGGACTGTTACAAAAATGTATTTTTAGAGGCATTGTTGGAGTAGCTAAAGCAGCTCTCTCTCCCTAACACTCAGGGCGGCACTGCTCTGCTTGGCTCCCGCAAGAGGAGATGGGCGGTGCCAGTCACCTGGCTCAGGTGCCCAGGGGCAGCGGAGAACACATCTCCACGGTACTCACCCTCCCAGCAAACGTAAATCTCCTTTCGACTTTCCAAAATTACACCCAGAGAAAGTTATGATTTTTATGTCTCTGAGTGGACCCGACTGTACTTTTCCTTCCACATTCATTTGATGTAGAGCACCTTTGAGGTCTTTGTCCGCCCAGCCACTGCCAACGTCGCTCCTGAGGTGCTAATAAAGAAGGCGCTGCGAGTTGGTTGGCCCGGCGCCGGGGGCCAGGGATGCAAAGAGGCAGCGGAAGTATCTCAGAACCAGACGCGGGTGAGCATGGCACCCCGGGGGCCCCGGCCCTCAGAAAAGCCTGTGGAGCACCCACCTGGAAGTCAGCAGTCACAGACCCTCCACAGACATCGATCAGCTCCGTCATGTCATAATACGCATCGAAGGTCCAGACACAGCTCTTCAGGTTCAGGTGCTGGTAGAGCTGGATGGTCTTCAGCTCCCGCACGCTGGGGTCCAGCTGGAACGGGCGGTCGTAACCAGGCCCCAGGGCAGTGCTGTCGTCGACCACATCGTCCAGGAACCCGGCCTCTGGGGAGGAAGACGGGAATACGCAACGATAACTCGGTCTGCTGACCTGGACTGATTGGAGAAGGAAACCGTTGCTGTCCAGCTGGCTCCGGCTCCTGGCGTTTCCATGGGCATCCGAGTAGAACGGTGCTCTCCCGGGCTTCCATGGCTCTGCTCTTTCAGAAACAGAGGACCATCCCTTTCTTTAGGCATTACTTTTGAGTGGATTTGAACCATCAACTTCGGTGGTAGTAGCTGCGAGCTCAACCAGTCATGCCACCAGGATGTCTTGTTTGGATCGTGTCCCCCCCAGTCCACGTCCTTGTAGATGTACCTAGTTAAGATGAGGTCATGCTGGAGTAGAGTACTCTAACCCAGTGTGACTGGTGTGTGGGTCAGAAGGGATCCCGGAACACTGAGAAGCCGCTGTGTGAAAGAGGAGCAGAGAGTGGAGGGATGCATGTAAAAGCCAAAGCAGGGCATAGATTGCTGGCCTCTGCTATAAGCTAGAAGAGTGGCACAGGAGGGGTTCCCCCAAGAGCCCTTTGAAGGAGCATGTCCTTGTCAACACTGGGGTTTTAGACTCTTGGCTTCCAGAACTGTGAGAGAGTAAATTTCTATTGTTTAAAGCCACTCCGTCTGTGGCACATTGTTACAGCAGGCCCAGGACAGGGATACGCTCCTGCTGACCAAGAAGCAAGGGGAGGAGAGAGGATGTATTCTTTTGGGATTCAGAGAACGTCCCTCAACCTCTCCCCCCCGTTTGGAACTCTACTAGCACAGCAATTTTGGTGAGCTGGCTAACTGCCTTTGACCAAGTGTTAGTTCACTGGAGTAGCTGAGTTCACGGTCTCAAAGAGGCTTCCTGAGCCTAGGAAGAGAAAGTGAACCAATGAAACAGTGAATGAATTGGCCAGAACTTGACGGAAGGAAAAAGTAGATGCAAACTTTCCTATGCAATCTGTCAAATCCGTTTCTAAGCTTCACCATCCATCCATCCCTGGAGAAATTAATTTCTTCAATGAATACTTTATTGATAGGTTCTCTTTGTTTTTAAATTGTTTTTTATTTAAAGAATAGTTTTATGGAAAGCTGACCAATATGTGTGTACCTCTCCTCTTTCCTATGGAGTTGAAACTCTTGGAGAAAAAGTCTTAATTTTGTGCTCATGGGTAAAGAGCTCACGAATGATGCTTGACTAAACCTCACGTGAAACACACAAAAATTATTGATCAGATGCTGCCAGCCATGTAAACTGCTCTAAAGTAAGGGAGACCTTTACAAAGTGGTGAGCTGAATGTAGAGACAGTTTAGGATTATCAGGGCTCTCCTTTTTACAGTACCCTAAGTACTACCAGAGAATGGATACATCCAAACTAAAGAACAAGCTCTTTCCTTAGAATGCTTGCTAGAGCACTCAGCCCTGGTCTCACACGAATGAGGTCCTCGGGGCGCATGTGTTGCAATGACTTGTTTTTGCGTAGGAAGACATGCAAAGTTTCCATCTTTAAGACACTCGCTGCTTGTGTGGTAGACCAATTAAACTTTCATTTGCAGCTCAGTGAATTACGCACAAGTTACACTCAACTAATTTCTAATGTCTAAAGGCCACCACTGCCAAACCGGGATGTCTAGTGACTATGAAAGAGCCTATGGCTTGTCTTTCCATCTTCAAGAACTACTGTTAAATGATTCATCAGTGGTGAAGGGAGGGGGTACGCCTTGAATGCGCACTTGCAAAGGGAAACGGGAATGGCTAGAGCTTTGTAAAGTGAAATGTCTGCTGTGATGCACTGCTCAGCTGTCAGCTGCCGCAGGGGTTGCCTGAATTGCAGAGAGCCACTTAACTCAACGTTGGGCCTTTCCTGGGGCAACACGCACCCAAGGTCTAAGATGGGCTATGAAGGCCTGCCCACTTGGGCTGGAAGAGAGGTGGGCGGGGTAATAGCTGTTCCAGAGCTTCCATTGGACTGGCGGGGAGTTTCTTGGTCCTGCATCCTAGTTTGAATTCTTCTGCTACCTCCTTCTTCTTCCTCCTCTTCCCTTTAAGATGTGCTGATCCCTAATAGACATCGTGCACCCCAAACTCCACTTCAGCAACTGCTTCCAGAAAACCCGCCATGTAACCCTGCACTTAAACTTTCTCAGGTGCTAGTGTGATGGGACGTCAGAGGTCAGATTCAAACGTGTTCACTATTGGGAGGGAAGGAACGGAAATTTACCATGCCAGGGGCTGCCTAAAGGTCACCTCATTTCATCCTTCCCTTGGCTGGTAGCAACTGTTGGTGTTAGCGAGAAGAAGACAATGTCTCCCAGGGGTCAGGCTGTGTTTGCTCACAGTACGTAGGGAGTGGAACAAGGGTTTAACTCTAAGTGTGTTCGATGCTTTTTCCTCTTGACTTTGTTCTTCCAAAGCGTGAGCAGCCTAGCTTGGGGCGCTTGCTAAGAAGGGAAAGTGTTAGTCACACAGCTTTTGAAGACCAGAAACCCTGAAAGCAAAACCAAACCAACAGAATTTCGCTTTGTATCACCATCACCACAAAGGTCCTTGGGTGGGGCAACCAGTCTTACACTTGGGTCCCTCACCTGAGATGCCTCTCAGGTCTCGGGTAGTGACAAGATTGGAGCAGACGTGCTGGTGTCTGTAGATGGACTCAGATAAGAGGAAGTGCAGGTTGTGCAATGGCATGGTGGAGATCAGGGGCAGCATTCCATCTTGATGTGGGATTTGCACGGAGATGTGGATCCTGCGTAGAAACAGGACAGAAATAAGAGTGCTAAGTGGCATGTTAACAGGTTCGCTTTGAGTTCAGGACTGACTCAATGGCAGCTACAAGTACGTCATCAACCGTCGATAGTGTACGCTCCTTTTTCAATTGGTCTTCATCGGTGAATTGATAACCCCTCCACCCCATTCTTTCTCATTGAGTTGCATGGGATTTTGTTGGTCCTGCGTCATAGTTTTGAGTACCTCTTCTGCCTAATTCTGCTTCCGGCTCTTCCTTAAGAGTTCTAGCTGAGCATGAAGCAGAGATGCGGTGGGACTGGGGAGTGGGTAGTGGGTGGGAGGGGGGTGGCGCATGCAGTATGACATCATTTTTTCCCAAGACTCTCAAAACTATAGAAATCAGGAATCATAGTTTTGTGTCTCTAGAAACATCACACCCCAGATTATATTAAAAGTTTTCTCTTGTGTAGGACTTCCATGTGCTCATGAGCTAGGGCTGACCAACTGACCCGGGTGCCGTTCCCATCGCTGTGAGGATGACTGCATGCCTCTGGATGGGCTTAAACCGCCACAGTTAGGTCAGCACTCGGGAATGCTCACCATCTGTACTAACCTGTGTAGGGAAGGTAGACACTCTTATGTGTTAGTCTTGCTCGAATCCGAGAGACTGAGATCTTAGACTTTAAAGCCAGTCTCCCTACCCAAACACCTTAGCAATGAGTACCGGCCCCTTACCACTCATCCTCTCTCTCCTCAACTGAAAAGCCCACCTTTTCCCCTTCAGTCCTACCTTCACCCACGCTCCAGGAAGCCAGCCCTCCCCAGGCTCCATTTGCGCCATGCCCTGCCTTGATCTACATTCCCCTTCGTACCAGGAAATCTTTAACTTATTTGTCCTGTCTGCTGTTGCGTGGATGTTCACAAACTGTTTTTCTTGGCTCCCTACAATGAGGACAAGCACGATTTCCTTCACATCATTTGTTTCTCCAGAGCTGTAGTGTACAATTCTAAATAAAATATGAGCTTAATAAATAGTGGTAAGGACTGTGACACAACACAACTGTACTTAGGGGCAGAAGTTTTGTTTTTTTTAACATACAAGTTTGAATTTCTAGCATGTTTACCGAGGGAGCATTTTGAGTTTAAACAGCTGGTCTAATTGAACAAACAGACCCACTTTAAGAAGAATCATATCTCAAAATATTGAAGGTGATGACTTTTTAAAAAGAAAGGTATCTGGAGTCCTCTGGAACTTTGGTTCTGACCCTTGAACAAAAATTAATTTAAATCTGTTAGAAAAAAGAGAGATTTGTGTGTTTGGGGCTCCAAATTAAAATTTCTTCCCTACCCGCTTTAATGCAAATGAACTCAATTACTCACAGAGACACACACATAAATATTGTGAGGTTAAAGGAATATGTATATCATGCATAGAATTATTTTTCCTTTGCAAAAATGAAACTACCCATCTCCTGTCTAACTTACAGAGCTTTGGTGGCTCTGTGGTTTAAGTAGTAGAGGGAAGTGGTTCAAACCCACCAGCAATTCCATAGGAGAAAGTCAAGGCTGTCTGGGTCTATTTCCAGTTGGGCAGCTGTGATTTGGAATCTACCTGAAGGCGATGGATTTGGGTTCAGGGTTATCATACTCACAGTAAATCGAGAGGAAAAGTTGAGAGACAGATCATATCTGTCTATTAGTTTACAAAGTGTTCGTACTCATTTGGTCAGTATTTAGTGGATGTCCATTATATGCCACTTACTTGCGATACCAAAATCAACTTGTCGCACCTGTAGGCAGGTGCAGAGCAGGGAACCATGAATTGCCCAACAAGTCCAGCTGTGAGTTCAACCTCAATAAGCACCCTCCCACCTTGTGTTCAGCTCTCCTACCGTAAGGTGGTGGTTTGTGTGGGGCCCATATAATGCCATGACTTTCACGGTTTCTGTGTTCTTTGTTTGATTTCACTATTTAAAATAACACTCAAGGTCAGTGCTGAAGTCCTGCTTGGTGCTCCTTTGTTCAAGCAGGCTGTGAGGTCCTAACGGAGAAATCATGTGAACTTAGAAGAGCTTTGCTCAGGTTGGAGAGTGTTGTTGCGTGAGTCAGACGTTAATGTTTCAGCACTATATAGGAAATCAGGGCTTTTAAAACAGAAACACACCCACAAGTAGGTTCTCTATCAGTAAATGAAAATGTTTTGACCAGAGGCTTTTAAGACCCTAATGTCGTAATTTCCCTAAGAGTAATGGTTCAGTGTTCGCTAACTCGGTGTTCATGTAACTTTATAGAACATAACTGCTATAAATCAAGAAACTCGACTGTAATCATGGCCACCACCTTACAGTTGACTATAGGGACTAAGAGAGACTGAAAGATGGTGATGATGAGGCAGACGCAGCTTTCTGTGCTAATGGAGCCTGGTGCTGTTGTCGGGGAAGGGTTGGCCTGCTAACCTCATAGTCGGCAGTTCAATTCCACCAGCCACCCTGGAGAAGAAAGGATGCTATCTGCTCCTCTAAATATGTACAGCCTTGGCAACCCTCCCTGGGGTCATTGTGAGTTAGAATGGCCTTGATGACAGTGGGGCGGGAGGAAGGGAGTCTCCAGACACAGCCCTTCAGTTAAAGTGGGGAGGGTGAAGAGGAGGCTCCGGAAAGAGATGCATGATCTAGTTCCTGCAGAATGACGGGATTTGGCCAATTGAGTGGGTGCCAGCAAGGAGAGTAATTATATTGGCAGGTGCAACCCTAAACATTTCGAAGCCACTGGGAAGTAACATGACTCTCTGAGAGCTGCTTGATGGGTCAAAAGAACAATGTGAGGGATACCAGGCTAGTAAGATTGTATGATGGGTTGAACAGTGTTCTTCCAAAATATTAAAGTCCTAAGTTTGCAAATATTGTCTTTGAAGATGTTGTTGGTGACCTTAACATGAGGTCACGCCAGAGAAAAGTGGGTCTTAATCCAGTCGGAGTGGTGTCATTATGAGAGAAGAGAGTGGAAAGACAGCAAGGAAAGCAGTGCCAGGAAGATGGATTTACAACCCAGAGCCAGGGGAGGGCTGGGCTTCCAGAAAGCAGCCGTGATAAGGGGGGATCTCATGGAGACTTCAGGGGGAGCTTTGGACTTCTGGCCCTCCGATGAGCCAGTCACTGCATTTCTGTCATTTTAAGGCACATACTTTGCGGGTTCTTTGTTATCACAGGCCTAGGCAAGGAGACGGATCTTGCGGAGTTTGGAGGAATTTAAACTTTTTTTATGTTGAAGCTGTTATTACCATTATTTTTTTCAGAAAAACCATTCATTTATCTATCCTGCAAAGCATGTGGACAGCCCAAGGGTCCGTCTAGCCTCTCAGTGTGGAGGACAGCCCTCTGCCTGACCTGTTTGCATGCTCCTTGTGCTTGACATCCAGGTATTTCAAGGTTGCGATGAAGGACTGAGCCTGGAACCCTCTAGCTGTCCCAGCTACCACTGGGGTGTGGCAGATAGCGCTGTCTGTTCCGATGGTAACAATGTTGCTCCGTAAGGGGGTCCCCACGTGGCCCACCTTGTCTACAGCCTTTGCCACACAGCGCACATGGAACCGTCGGCTAAAGTAAATGCTATCCAGAACCTACGGGAAAGAACAAAGCACCGCAGACGTGGTTACTCCCTTTCAGTAGCTCTTTATGTTATGTCTTTTATGTGATTTGAGCTTTTTAAAAAAAATCATTTTATTGGGGGCTCGTACAACTCATCACAATCAATATAACCATCATGTCAAGCACATTTGTACATTCGTTGCCATCATCATTCTCAAAACATTTGCTTTCTACTTGAGCCCTTGGTGTCAGCTCATTTTTCCCCCTCCCCCCCTCTCACAAACCCTTGATAATTTATAAATTATTATTCATTTGTCATGTCTTACTGTCTGATGTCTCCCTTCACCCACTTTTTTGTTGTCTGTCCCCCAGGCAGGGGGTCATATGTAGATCATTGTCATTGGTTCCTCCTTTCTCCCCTACCTTCCCCTTCCCCTTCCCCTCCTGGTATAGCTCCTCTCATTATTGGT